CGATAACAACGTAAACTGATAAGATATATTGCTTGTCAAATAGTTGTAAACGACGGTTGATGGTGATAACATTAGAGATGTTCGATACAATTTCTTAGACCACGCTGTACAACAGAAGAATAATTTTTTTTCATTATTTGGTCACACTGACCTGAGGTTATCGAAGTTTGTTTACATTTTTCTATTTTTTTTTTTCAGAGTGACAGTGGACATTCGGGTTTATTCCAACGAGGCAAAAAATAGTTTAAATTAACGCATGTATTTTATTGAAATAATGAAAGAAAGAATTTTATAAACTATAGCATATTATATGTTAACATGTTTCAATGAGTTTTATTGAAAATTAAACTGCAATAATGTTTCTTTGTGTACGATTCAACTGACAGACCGATAGCCACTATGCACCAAAGGTAGTCGTTTTATCCGCCGCGTTATAACGGAAACCCATTTCGGTCAAACGATCACTTATGTATTTCGAGTTATCTTCCATTTGTTTCACATACAAACCGTTGACGTGCAAGTAATTTTCACTCTCGCACACATGTAACACTTCCGTCGGATTGAACGGCGCCAGGTACACCGGTCGACAGTGATAGATCAAAAACTCGTGCAAGACACCAGCAGCGCCGTTCATCGAATCTGACATGCCAGGAAAATCCGCTCTTGCCTCTGACCCCGGAAGTGTTCTTCCGATCCAGTCCAGAGCCGTGTGAAACGCATCGAGTTCGGTGTTTCCACCGGCAATGAGTGTCAATGCGCTTTCCACTTGCGCCACAGCGGACAAACCTCTTCGGAGACCCACGTCGGTTTGTTTCCAGCATTCTCCGGTGAGGTCGCTTTGGACATAACGACCGGTAGGACCGCCCAGGGTCTGTTGGTCGTTTTGCGCCGAATAATTGCACCGGTCAATAGCAAGAGCCGCCGCCGAGAAAAACCGATTGAACCTTAGCCCGTAATCGCATCCCATCATCACTGGGATCATTTGCAACTTCTCGGCCGTCTCCAGTCCGGTCGCGCCGAGAATTGCACTCACAGGCATCCAATCTTCTCCGTCGGCGATGGAACCGAACCACATGTCAGGCCAAATCTGTTCTTTAAGTACACCGTTGGCCAGGTCGACTCGATCCGGTATCGGTTCTGCCATCACAGTATGATGTACTCGTGTAAACGAGGCAAACGCGGCCAGTAACGAAACGACCGAACGGCCGGACATTCCAAGTCGTTTGAGAATTTTTTAGAATTTAACGAAAGTCACAACTCGCTCAGTCTACACCGAAAACCAGAATGTCTAAATATCATAAAAAAAAAAAACGCGCAGACGATCAGCTAACCGCACAAAGCACATTCGTTGTTTGCTTAAAGACATGACGCGGCATAACATCTCAGTAAACATCATAAAATAATGAAACGTCGAGGTAGTTAAATATTGCTAAAAATACATTTTTATATAATCGGTGCACAGGGTGAGCCATCTGAAGTAACACACTCATTTTGTGTCTGGTTATCGGTGTACACGTATTATTTTAATGGACTACTTGAATTCAGAAAAACCTAAGACATATCTTCTACGGTGTTGACTGGGTCGGCATTATCGGTCACCCTGGTCTTCAAGTTATTTCTAACGACAAGTAAGAGGGGGTGGGACCACGTTTGAGTAACTTTCACCGACCGACGTGCAGAGTTCAGCAGATAAAAGATATTTCGTTTTGCGTTATGACAAAACCAAAATAAATGTACGGTTACTCGGAAAAGTTGCCACGCTTTTGTGTTTGTCGACTTGTTTGTAAACATTATCCGAGTCGGTGTAAGCGGGTACAGTGATAAGCGTGTGTGTGCGGAAAAACCTGTGCAAAAGATCACAACGCCTGCCAGACGTTTCTAAAGTTCTTGACTCGCTGTACTCGCGCATAATCGTCGGAAAGTTCACCGTGGCCCTGGTGTATAAGAAGTTTATCCGATTAGGTGTTGGTCGTGAGAGATAGACACATACACGCACAAAGGTCGGATGGATAAAGACGGGGTCGACAAAGTTGCGCGGGCAAAAAGGTTCCAAACTTTACCATTCGTCTGAATCCCTCGGATACTACGACAGGGCGGACTGCGGTTCAGCTACTCCGGCAGTCACATTTCACGTTAAATTAATTACGGCGAGACATGCCGAGGCCGCAATAGAGAGAACGTTGTAAGAGTTATAACAGTCCGTTCGCTTTTCCATTCGACTATAAAAATTGGTTATACACAAATTCGAAAGTCCTGGAAGTCGGACGTGACAACTGAAAAGTGATACAGCTTCCTGTGATTTGTACCCGCAGGGTAGGCGCTTAAAAGCATAGAGTTTTTATAAAGCTGTAACATCGTACAACGCCCCAGCACTCAGCAACACAGTAATCAAGAAGGCGGTCGACAGTGTGACCACTTTAAAGTATAATTTATTTTATAAGCTGTTAAACACCGCACAGTAAAATCATCAAGGTCGTAATATTGCAATTGATAAATCGTATATTTTGTTCGGCATACGGTTGCAGAAATGAAATAAAACTACAAAATTGTAACAAAGAAATTTAATTTCTTCATTCTGGCCACACTGCAGCTCGCCTTTTCGCTTACTTCGTAATATTTTACTCATTGCGACCCCTTGCTTAATTAATATTATCCAACCTACTATCAGTACTTGTAGATAAGTAATTTTATACATAATCTATGTACCTAACTGTACTCTGGGTCTAAATAGTATAATATCCATTAAAATTAAACTTGTACGAACATGTTGCCTGACTGGACATGTATATATTTGGATGTAAATGTATTTAGGCCTCGTTTTATTAAGTGTATCGTGTACAAAGCTAAAGGAATTTCGACACAGCTTCGTTACGAAACGAGCTTTAACCAATTAAACTCGATCACAACCCATCCGAATAAATTATACACTGTAATTGACTACACTGTAATATGTTTGTTGACTTTAATCAATTACACGGGTCTAAGTTTTGACTTTAACTGGGACGCTGCACATCAATGAGATGAAAAAACAATTGTGAACATGAGTTGGCAGTTATCGGCGTAGAACTTTGTAAATACACTTGGAAGCGAAATCTATCTGTTGTAAAACGACATAATATGTCATCTTTATCTTAGTTAAACACAGCATGAATTTGGAAAATTTAAATTATGAAAATCCCGAGTATTAAAATAACCTTTTAAGTATACCCGTTACTGTACACGGCCTGTGCCAATTGTATCGACTATAAATTTTGAATATCGATTATTAATGGTCAGAATTCAAAGCACAGAGAGCGATTGTAGATAGGAACGACTGGAATAATGCATGACCCCTGTTATTGCTTGCGGTCGCTGTATTGATATTTACCCTGACCTGTTGGTTGTATTTGTTGTTATTAAATAGCTACAGCTAGACCGAACCGCACGATGATTTATCATATTTTACTTTATCCAAATATAAAATTAATTAAACAGCTGGTGCTATCTTGTCATTATTTATCATATGGTGCATGGTTGATTTTTGTCATCGTAACGGCCAGAATTGGACGAAATTTAATTGAACAACAAATAACTACTAAAATAAAATGTCGAAACGTTTAGAAATTGAAATACAAATTGCTGGTATTTACTATGGTACATTTAAATCAACATTTTTTTGGCAACTCACAATTGTAGGATCACATTGCCCATACAGAGTGGTCCATTTGACGTAAGCGGTAAGACACTTTTACCCTTTTTATAAAAATGAATGAAATTTAGGGTTTCCCTCGGCGAGGATTACCTACCACAGTAGTTGGGTATGGTTTACAATATTTGTTTCACAAAAAAAAATTCCTACTTTCACCGAAAAGACCATCGATCAATATCAGGTTGACGTGGCCGACGGTCGTTAATCGCAATAATCCTCAGCTGTTGTCCTGGTTTCCTGTCGGGAGCGATTTACCCCTCTTGTGCGTTTTGGACGCAAATTAATTAATTAATGCGTTACGTACACCGGAAACCACCGCCGACACCTAGACTTGACCAACACACCCTGTATGGTGTACGGTGTATACAATATTACTATGGGTATACTGCAACGGAAGTGCAGGAAGTACAGCATAATACAATATCACCGACAACGTGACCCCTGGCATCCTGGTTACCATTCAATTTCCAATAGCACTATATATTATCTGTCTTGTGTATTACATCTACAATAATATAAAGGTGATTCGTCTGTTTTGCGAATATTGGTATTAAATTCGAATCCTTACATCGAGTCATAGCAAGCAAACAGACTAAAGAAAATCAACACTACTCGTCTAGTTAAAATAATAATAATACTCGACCGTCTTTCTTGTCCAGCCTTAGCGATAACGAATTCCATTGTCAATCCCCTCCCTATTTTTTATACAATATAACAAGCGACCTAGTTTAACACAACAATAGGACACACACACACGGCGGCTAGCTAATGGCTATTCAAAGGTTTTTATGCACTTTCAAAGAACACAGATAAACCGATTGGGGTTATTTTATTATTTCGTCCACTTACATTTTCCGACTACTTGGTGGTAATTTTTTTGCCCTACACTCTAAATCGGGTCGAATCTTTTATACTTTTACCGCAGCAATGGTTCCCACGACCGTACAGCTTTGCTCCTCTGCTTCCTGATCTTTAGTAACTTATATAAGTTCCAATAAATACTGGTGTCGCTGGTAATTGAAATAAAAAAGTCCCCCTTTTCTACTTAAAAAACGAGAAAAACACCCAAGTATGGACTCGTAACCATCCAGTCCAAATCGAACCCGTTGTGGTGATTAAAAATAAATAATATTTTCGCAGCAATTAAAGTCAAACAGTGTTTCCAATGAAAATGTAAATTTCATTAATCAGCATGGACACTAGATTATATCGATTTTAAACAGGGCACCCTGCGTTGTTATATATGAATAATTGCGTTTCATATTATTATTATTATTATTATGTAAATTCAATAGTTGTGCTGCGCACTCACTTTGGCCGATAACGACGAATGGGGCTCGTTGAACAGCGCCCAGAGTTTCGGCTTGGTCCTTTGCCAACAGGTCAGCGTGCCGGCAAAGTATTCTTCCTCGTACCCGAACATCCTGGCCACTTCCTCTTCGTTGGGTTTCTCCGAGTCGATGTCGAGTTTGTCGAGTATCGCCAGCGTGGCCTAGTTATGGACAAACATCATTATAGTAATCAGTGAGTACACGATTTGGTGTTCGGGAAAGTGAAAGTGAGGGTAGATGCATAGGAAAAGGATAGAAACGAGAATCAGTGTGAAAAAGACTGCTGATAATGGTTGTCATCGATGGTTTTCAATGGTGAAAACATGTTTACACAAAACAGAACAGATAAAAAAAGTTTTTTAAAGTGATTTTAGAGATAAAACAGACCAGATTTCCGAGCAGCGACCCTTGTTGCGTTTTTCCATATTATGCCAATAAGAAATAAAGATTTATGAAAGGTTAAAAAAAATATTTGCATTCATCAATATTACTTAAACGCAATGTAGATAATGCAAAACGCAGACGAGATTCCCTTTGGAAATGTTTCCTATCTTTTTTTATTACGAGTGTATCACTTTTACCTTTTCGTGGTATGCGTGAACATGTTTAGATGATAATACATTTTATAAATACCCGTCAAGGAAACTGCGATAGCCCCGAAAAACGACCAAAAAACAGTCCTAATCAATGAAATAATAATAATTGCACATCACAGTTTAACCTTTAAATTAAGACTTTGCGAAAAATCGCATCACCTAACTCCTTCGTAAGTAGCCTATCCCCTTAGTATGACTTGATCTTAAGGCGCTGTGGGTCTATCTGGAATCAGAGTTGTCATGGCGATACTGGAAATGAAAGTAAGGGCGCAGAAATGAAGAAGCAAACGAAAGTGTGGGCAGGAGAGGAGTAGGGTTAGTGAAATAGTAGAAATAGGGGATGGGCAGGGATATTTTAAAGTATAGCCTTTGTCTTCTGACCCCAAAAACAGATCTACACGATAATATGTTTTTCTGTGTAGCCGAGAAATGAATTCCTATTTTCACCAAAATCTATATCAATGACGGTGTTGCGCCGCGTCGGGTTGGTCTTGTGCAATCTTGGCTTTTGTCAAACGCACACTAGCCAACTCGAACAACGCCCGTGCCATTAATCAGCAACAACACCACGTGTGTATACCGAACTCCCCCCCCCCCCCAAAAAAAAAAAAAAAGAAAAACTTGTCAGTCTCTCGTTGGTCGCTTTTCAAAATTCAACGCTTTGCACGCTTCTCGAGCCATTTCATCAATTTAGCGACACACGTCAAGAGAACGTGACGGAAACGAAAATGAAAAAAAAATGCCCTCGTCCTATACTAATAATTTCCCCGATGAAAGAAGTCAGCTGCTGCTACTGCTATTCAGTGTGAACTGCTCGTTTTTTATTTAAACGGCCTGTGCACGTGTAATACCAACCAAGTAGTAAAACCAAACTATACTACTTAATTGGATCACATAATAATACGCTGTATCTGACGTATTGAGAAATAGACAGTGATGCCAGATACTCAGATACCTCCTTTTTTTAATTTTTCTATGATTCGTGGCTATACTGTTCATTTATTAAATTGCCTACACCGACAACAGCCGGTTCGAAAGTTAATAGCGCTCTGAAAAATACCAATAAAGGCAAATATTTGATAACTGTATTTTATCTTGCAAAAAAATAAACGAAATTTTTTTTATAAAATTAACTACAAAATTGTAGTATTTTCCGTGACAACGAGTGGACCTATGTGCTTTTCGAGTGGGCTTACCTGTGTGTCTCTGTGAATGCTGTACGTGGACCAACAACACGGTTCCACTTGATTCGAGTCCAAACCCCAAAATTCCAATTCGTCCTCGAACAGCGGACCGCAAACGTTTGTCGGATAATGCAGTTTCCCCGTTCTAGTAGATAACATATAAGTACATTAAACTACACCACGTGGGCGTAACAAGGGTTTTTCGTATATTGTTTTTACTTCTTCATCATGTTCTCCTTACACTCCCAACTAGTTGGGGTCGGCCATCCTAGTCTTACACCTTCATAGAGCTCGATGTTCTACATCTCTTTCAATCACCCCAGCTATCCTCACATCGCTCTCTATTCCGTCCGTCCATCTTTGGTCTGCCTTTTCCTTTCTTTCTCTTGAAATTCATTTTTACAACATCTATCACTGCCTCTGCCTCGTCTCTTTTCATAACACAACCAAACTATTTCAACTTATTCTCTTTCGTTTCCCCACAACTGATGCAACTCCTAGACTCTGCCTAAATCAATCCTAGTCACTCCACTCATTATCTGTTCAGTTGTCCTGGCTAGTGCCAAACATTCCGACCCATATAGCATTGCTGGTCTCAGTACCGTCTTATAAAATCTACTTTTCAATCGTATAGGCATCCTTCTGACACACAAAACACCTGAGGCTCCCCTCCACTTCATTCATCCACAATTTATCATACTTTTCACATCCTTCTCATATCCACCATTTTTTTTTTTTTTGCACTACCGATCCTATGTACTCGAACCTGTCAACCTCAGACATTTCATCGTCGCCCATCTGCATTACCTGTCTTGCCCTATAACTCCTTTACTCCTACTAATCCTCGGTCCTTTCTTTCGAGCGTTTCTCTTTCCTCCACTGTTCAAGTTTTGTTGGAAACAAGTTACCTACCTGTAATAATTCAGCACTTGGGCGAACACGCCCGGATGCCGGTCGAAAAAATACTCGTTGAGCACAGGATCGTAGTTGGCCAGAGCCTCGGTGAGTCTGCTGAGCCTCGTGGCCGGTATTTTCTTCAGCGTCGCTTTGTACGTCTCGTACCGGATGCCGCCCACATTCAATATGATCCTGTTCTCGCCATCCATGTCAACTGCAACCTCGGTGGTCACGCATCGTTAGATCGTGAACTGCAACATTCGTTGAAGATGGCCTCGGCGAAATTGTATTGAGCAATCCGCGATAAACCACATTTTTTCCGCTGCACAGAAAAAAAACATTGAATCATAAATATATGCGTTTTCGGCGTGTCTGTGGTGGAGCCCAATGTAGACATATTATGTCTTATAGTACACTTTACACATAGTACCCTGGTACCGACATTCATGAGTTGACAAAATCATGACCTAGATCCTATGACCCGCGAGGTCTAGATCATATTAAGCGAATCAACAACATAATGAAAATTTTTTTCGACCGTCTGTTGACTGTTGATTCGTTGAACACACACAAAGCAATCTGGGAATTTATTGTGCGACCAAAGTTTAATTTCCCTTTGTTTTTTCTCATTAATAAAAAATGTTAAGTACATATGCTTGAGAAAATCATTCATTTTATAACCCTATTATAGATATAATCTTCAGTCCGATTTCCAGAGCTTCAAGTCCTGAGGAAAAGGCCTATTAATCTTTTCTAGGGTTTTTCAATGTATGTCGATAGTAGCATATTATAGGAATGGTCCCATTCAAATTTTGAACAAATTTGAGTATTCTCAAATATAATTAGACTTAACTTAAAACTAACCTAATTTTAATTAGGTTAGGGGGGGGGGACTGTAATGTCATGTTTATAGCCTCACGGACTACTTACCCGCAGGTCGCAGTGTAAACTTAAATAATATATTTTTATTATGTATTTATTAAAAACTGGTTATTGATTAGATAATATTGTTGCTCCGATATCATTCTGCTTTAAAATAGATAATGCAAATGTGTAATTTTCTATTTTATGTTTAACAACAATTACCCTTATAAACTACACTTTAAAATAATATTTTTTTGAGAAATATTAAATGCAATTTTTTTTTAATTTAAATTAAATAAGGATTTATTTCGAAGCTCTTTTAGCTTGCTTAATTTATTATTTCCATGTGGAAAAGTCACTGGAACACAAAATTTCGGATAACCCCGTGTTAAGGTCACTAGCAGTTTGTTTCTTGTGTCTGCTGACCGGTCTAGCAACCAACTCTAATCCCAACCTTCTAAATCCGCTTAAACCGCCTGTCCGGTCCAGCTATTATTATGTTAAACTCGAGTGGAAAAAATCCGAGATGACATTTAAATACTTTCGAAATTTACATTTTATTTTTTTACACGCCGGTATGTATAGGATGATTTTCATAGCAAGGCATTTGAAATAACTTACTATATTTGACTTCAAACAGGTTACACGAAACTGTTACATGTGCAAATGTATTGGAATAAAATATTACTTTAAATTATAAACAATAATCTATTTAAAAATAATTGATTATCTGTTGTCAAGTCTTACTTCATTTTTTTACTAAGCCGATAAGAACGGTCATGAGAGAATGTTTTTGTGGAGAATAAATAGATGTTCTTGAAAATGTTTGTTTTAAAGGGCAGCTGGTCAAAAGGGGGCATAGTAGATGTATACAGAAACGGCCAAAGGGTGACTATTTTTTTTTTTAATGTTTCACATCAACCATCGTTGTTGGTGCCCGGTTGTGTTTACTTGGGCGTTTTTAATGTTATGCAAAATATAGCGTACTCATAAATAACTAATTGCAACTGCGAGGTTTCCGGTAGTCTTTGAACGTTGTACAGGAAATGAGTGAAAACACTTAATATCTCTAAATTACATATTTACAATTTTGTTGTTTTCCTTTTATAAAAAAAATATTGTTTATATTATTTTACAATACAATTCAATTAATAAGCTGATACTAATTTTCTCTGAAATAAATTGCCAATGAAATTATGCCAGCTATTTCGCCGAACACCGACCGGTAACTTTTTCACTAACGAGCTAATTGGCTAATTGATTGGCGAATTGGTTAATTCTCGGTACACGGTGATCTAAAGACAATTTATCAAATGTATCAAAGCTGTATTGTAATTATATTATCCGTAGAAGCGCCACGGTATTAATCAAATAACATCACAATATACAATATTAATACCGCTGTATTAGAATTGGTGATTCAGTTCGTCGATTAAAAACGTTTGCAAAAAAATTGCACTGACGTACCTACACAATATCCAATTATTGTAATGTCAAATACAAAACTAACCATACAGCTTATTCCAAAAGCATAACCAGCTATACTGTACAACGAGAACTAAAACACAATCATTCGTGAGAGCTTTCTTCTTTAAGCGAAATCCTTCTTTAGATTAAATATGGATTTCAAACGCAGAGTAAAAATATAAAAATGTATTAAACGTTCATAATGCTTTGTACTCGGCGCAACAAAGTAATCAAAAAGACTAGCGACAGTGTGACCACTTTAAACGAAAATAAATACATTTTTTTTTTATATGCTGTTAAACACTAGGTACACAATATTATACCCGTCAGCTATAGCTGATTTATCTATTGATCTATATAATCAATAGATAAATTCAAATAATATGATAGATTAGCTGAGAAGTTGTATGTTTTGTATCATATGATTGCAATTTAAAAATGTGTACTAGAGAAATTCAATTTCGTTATTCTGGTCACACTGCAGACGAGCCTTTCGGTTTACTTTTTAATAATAATTACAATGCCCTGATTTTAAATGATTATGTCTACCAAATTCCGAACTCGGCAACTTTATGTCAACTTTTTAACGAAAATACATTAATTCCAAATAATTATGAGAGGATGTGTACTCTTGTGCTGCTAACGTTTTGCTTTAATTCAAATATACTGTAAATTATTTTTAAATTTTAGTAATTGATAATAATCATGTAATCGAATCTAAAGCGAAACGTTTCTGTCCTTTTATTTGCGTTTTTAAATTGTCGTTATCTTTGACTACTTAAGTCGATCAAATTAATTGCGTTATTAGTGGCAAGAGGAAACGAGGCGGTTTTCCGCTTTGGTCTTATAGAAAATAAACCTATGCCTTAGCGGAAGCAAAGCCGGTTAACAGTTTACAGCTGCTATTATTGGAATTCCATGAAAAACCATTTTCTTGGAGAAAGAAAATAATAATAAAAAGCTAAAACTAGTTATTTTTTTTTCTCGTCGCCGTTCGTTTAATAACAGCTAAAAAAGGATAATTATTTTCTCGGTGCTCTATTGTATAGCCGGACAAATATTATATTATTCGGCAAAGAAACTTATCAAATAAATAACTGTTATATATATATATATATATAGTTATAGTATATGAGAGTTGTTCATGTGATATTACAGATTCAATTTCTTTATGCACCGATACAAGTACTTTACTCTCTTTCCACGAGTATTCTCGACAGCAACGATTTCAATAAATAACTGTGATAATATAAATTTATTTTGACATGTATAATATGTTTTATCGCCGGGGGCACTGAACTCAGTATATTACGGAACGCGTATTCAGATTGAAAAATGTCCCCACCTAGGAAGCAGCCATTTTGTGTACAATTTCGTAGAAAGTAAAAATAGAGATAAGTGATTAGAGAGAAAATATAAGAGATTAGAGATTTTAAATAAGAAAAGTACCCAAAAGTACTTCAGGGTATTATACTTGAACATAAAGACATACAAACACGTGCCTATGGATCCGGTTGTAGTGTGGATACTTGTTAGTTTTTTTATTTATATTTACAACGGGTGATCCATTTACGAGAAACGCTCGTTTTTTGTCGGAATATAAAATACTATTTTGCTGTTTTTCTTTTTGAAATTATTTTTCCTTTTTTTTTTTTGTTATTTTCCAGAGCACTATGGACTTTTAAAACTCAAACGTTAACGTACATGTTTAACCTGAATAGTAAGATTAAATTGCTGAACATTTTACCCCCGGTCTATAATCAGTTTGGAACATCTATTTTAAAGTTCTCAAGTTTAAAAATTTAGGACGCGAGAATGTGCAGGGAAAAGTATTATTATTTTTATGTTTTCAAAACGAAAAGCTATAAAATTGTTTTCCCAGAAAACCGGTGTTAAACGGATCACACTGTATATCGACCATTGAAACGGGTTAACACTATATCGACACTGACAGTTTTTATTTTATTTTATATTAATATTGAACACATTATAATATATGATCTAGGTAATTTCTTCTTTTATTTTTTATTTCTTTTTTATTCACATTTGTGTTCTTTAACGTTGATTGAGAGCCTTATAACCCGGTAAATTGTTACAAAAGATTCTTTTTCGTCCCAGGGGATTTCCCAGCGGACTGACAGGCGACGGAACATCATTTATCATCGGAGCACTTGTTATGGGCGAAAATGATAAGAAAAACGAACCTTTGACGCGCGAACACATCCAGCAGAAATAAAATATAAAAAAATGGAGAAAATCAAATAAACAGCAGTAAATAACTTGCGAGAAAACTCTTAGTGGGTTTCTACGTTAAATACTAAAAAATAACATCCTCGAGGGTGTATATATATATATATATTTTTTTTTTTATTACTATTATTTTTTTTTTTTTGACTTGCCATTTCCAATTGAACACACCGCGCACAGTGAATGACTTGTGGCAAAAGAGAGATAATGCGAAAAATAAAAGCGGGCCATGATAAATGAACGAGAACCCGACGAACGACTAACACTGGCTAAGTCCTTTTCGGCCGACGAGCAATTTTCGCGGTACCCCAAACCCTGTACAGGAATTTATTCAATGCAATTTATATTATATTGGACATTCCGCGACCGTGCCCCAAATTAATACAAACTCACAAACTATTTTTGACGATATATTTCATTTCAAACGTCTGGCGGCGCATATCCTGATAATTAATATCCACGGTCCGCCCCGTTTCGCTGTGAACAACGTATGTTAGCTGTTAGTAACGCAATGTAATAATGATAATAATTAAATACTCGAGTATTCGGGTTAAAATTACCATAATTATCAGCATTGAAATTTTACCAGAATGTTTGAATTTGTTTGAACCCATAAGCTAGTTCCAGGCAAGTGCCACTCAGTGGAGTGGGAGTTTCCAAGGAAACTCTGATTGTCACGGTTGCTTTGCGAATGGGAAAAATCGAGTTTTAACGATACCAATTACTGTCGGATAACGCCTAATT